ACTAAACCAATCTTCCCGAGGTTCGCCAAGTTCGGCAAGATGACCGAGAGCACCAACCTCCCCCTCCTACACCTCCACTGACCTCTGCCGGGCTGATGTGTTCAATCCTGGTGTTTGTTTGCCCCGTCTTCGAAATCAGGGGGAACGATCCTGGGTCCCTGGGTCCGGGGACCACTGAAGATGTATTGGGTGAGCACGAACCCACCCACACCCACACCCACACACCCACACATTCAAACACACACACACACCTTCTTAAGCGTTGCAGGTGGGCGGTCCGCCAAACCGCTGGGCACGCGACCGGCGTCCAAGCGCGCGGTCAAAGGAGGGGCAAAGTGAAAAGGGCGAGGCGGCCGGCCCCTGATGGAGCGGCAGCCGGGTGCGACGTTGAGGCGCCGGGGCAGACACACAGACACAGACACACACACACACACACACACACACACACGGACACACACACACACACACACACCACGCGCACACCACACCAACAAAGGCAGCCCTGAGGCCCGGGGAAACAGAGAGTGGCCTCCTCCTCTGCCCCATCCCCCTCCCCACGCAGGGGTCCGCGCCTGGGGCCAGCCCCACGGTGGTGCCAAGTGGCCGCAGGCAGGTAGTTCTGCGGGGGAGGGACGCGCGCGCGGGCGGGACATCTCCTGCGCTGCACGCTGCTGATAGAACGCACCAGAAGGTGTCTTCCCACATGGGGAAAAGTGGCCTGCCCAGGGCCTGCGCAGAAACGTCATGCGCAGTCATCTTGCCCCAGTGCCAGGCAGCTGGAAGCACCCACACACACGGTCATATACACACGCGGGGCATGTCCTATGTCGCTTGATGCGGAAAGCTTATACACCCCAGCGCCTTGCTTCGCCCTGTGGCAGAGGAACTGATATCATGATTGCTGATACAGGTCCTTATTTCTGTTGTCCTCCTTCCCTCTTCGAATCCTTCCTCCTCCCTTCCTCATCGTGCTGTTGTTGATGATGCTTCCTCTGCTGATGCTCCCGTTGATTTGTTGGCAGTCCTAATTCTCGTCCTCCTTCATCTTTTCATGATCCTTCTCATCCTCCTCCTCATCCTCCTCTTCCCTCTCGTTCATGCTGATGTTGGTGTCCGTTACTTTCCCTCATCCTTCGCCTCCTCACCTCAGCCGTTTTTGGTTACAGAGTTATCTCCCACATACTCTTCTGTCATCCTCATTCGGTTCAAGAGTTTGTTCGTGACCACCAGCAAAGTCCTGCATGGCTTGCTCCTGGTCATGTTTGACATGTTGCAAATCCTGTATGTAATGTTCCTCTTCTTTCACCCCCAAAACAACTCCAGTGATTGCTGATTGTTTGAACACCACGCCCAGCCTGGCACTCCCGAAACCACTCCCAACATACACGTAAAACAAAAAAATGGCTCGACCCGAAGCAAGCAGGCGGATAAGGACAACAAAGGAAACTGCAGCGCCCAAGCAAATGCGGTAGAAAGGAAGTAATCAAACAAACAAAGAACAAACTCGAAATACTAAAGAATGAGCAATAACGTGTGTGCTCGCGGTATGTCTGCTGGAGCTTTGAAATCACACACTCCCTCAACCCAAACCACTCCAGACTCACACGCGAAATCCTAGGCTCAAGCTGAAGCAGTCAAACGCAGCGCAAAAGAGTTCAATGCAACATAGGTTCGACCTATGGTCGTTGGCGGCTTGACACCACCCCCTCCATCAACCTCCCGAAACAGCTCCCGACTCACATGTGGAATCAGGAGCTCATACTGACTCAGCCAAAAAAGCGATGAAAGAACTGCAATGCGAAAGAACATACGTTTCGCGTTTGGCCGCTGGCACTTCGACACCGCACCCTCCCTCAACCTCCCAAACCACTCCCGCCTCACACGTTGAGTCCCATGTCAAAGCTGACGCAGCCAAACGCAGCGCAGACTGCCCCAAGACGGCCCAAGAGGGCCCAAAGACGGTCCAAGAGGGCCCTAAAACGGCACCAGAGGCGTCCAAAATCGCCCAAGAGGGCCCCAAGACGCCCCAAGAGGGGCCCAAGAGGGGGAACACGAACTGCCAAGTCTAGTCTTCCGCCCCAAGAGGCCCTCGGGAGGCCCCAAGAGGCCCTCAAGAGAGCTCAGGAGGCCCCATGGAGGCCCCACGAGGTCCCCACGAGGCCCAAAAAGAGCGCCAAGAGGCACCCAAACGGCCCCCACGAGGCTCCAAGAGGCTACGAACGCGCAGGCAAACCCCTGCGATGGCACAATACGGGCCCGCGGAATGAGCGAAGCGATTAAAAATTAAAGTGAGAAACAAGATGTGTCGCGTCATGGTCGTTGGCATGTCAGACACAGCAGCATCCCTGACCATCCTGGAACCATTCCCGACTTACACGCGACTTAAGGAAATGTAAGCTCAAACGTAGGAAGAGGACGGAGAAGACCAGGAAAGAACACGTCAACACAAAAACATGTAGCGCAACGGCAACAGGTCGCGCGTGGAAATATGCAGCGACGGAGACACTGCAGCGGCATAAAACTGCAATACGCGCCTTGACCGATGGCGATTTGACACCCAACCCTCCCTGAACCTCCCCAAACTGCTCCCGTCGTACACACGTAATCCCTAGCTCAAGCTACATCAGCCAAGGGCAGCACAAAAAGTGCAATGACAAAATAAACTGCACCGAAACAGGAATCTAGCGCAACGGAACAAAAAAAATGACAACGGTGTTCCTGGTCACTGTGGCTGGCGCGTTGGGCACTGCACCCTCCCTGGCACTCCCCATACCACGTTCGATTCGCACGCAAAAGTCGAAGAGGCAGCTAACGCAGCAAAAACCAGTGCACAACATGGACATTCCAACAAAGTATTGCGATTACATACTGCGACGCCTAAAAAACAGCAATACAACGAAACTGTGCCGATGATCGCTGTTGTTGGCTGTACCTCCCCAAACCTACCCCGCCTCACAAATGTAATATTAAGCCCAAGCTTAAGTCGCCAAACTCAAAGCTAACCTGAAGCGTTCACCTTTGATATTGAATAGCTTGAGCGCCACCGAAAGAATGTCATACGCTGGACACAGGGGCAGATGACCATCGTGTCCGAGCGCTGGGAAGACTTGCGGCCGCAATCTTTGCGCCCCCGTGAGTGACCTGGTTTCGGTAGGAGGGCACCACTGTGCTTTTCAACGAAGGGCTATCGCTGGACACTTCCTTGAACCGATGCCTGCCAACGCAGGCACCCCACCAACAGCTGCCATGGAAGTCTCTGCCGCCTTGGCTCGCTGGACACCTGATACCAGGATGCCCGATCCTGAGAGCCCTGTGCCCGACTTTCACGCCCACCGCCTTCAGCCAGCCTTTTGCCTGCTTCTGACGGCGGACCGCCGCCGTCGCACGTCCGCTGGCCCCCGCCAGCCTCCAGCGGCCGTCTTCCGGCTCTCTCGCCGAGGCCCAGGGCAGCGGCCGCAGGCAAAAAGTACTCTCTGGAGCGCGCCGTGACGCCGACACTGATCCCTGGCAACGCCCACCCTCGGGCCCGCAAACGGCGAACCCCCGCGGGCGGGCTCGGGAGGAGGCACCCTCCTCGTCGTCGTCGTCGTTGCTGTCGTCGTTGTCGTCCTCGTCGTCGTCGTCGTCGTCGTCGTCGTCGTCAGCGTCGTCCGTCATCATCGTCGTCGACGTCGTTGTCGTCGTCCTCCTCCTCATCCTCCTCATCCTTTTCCTCCTCCTCCTCCTCCTCCTCCTCCTCCTCCTCCTCCACATCATCATCATCATCATCATCATCATCATCATCATCATCATCATCATCATCATCATCATCATCATCATCATCACCATCATCATTCATCATCATCATCATCATCATCATCACCATCATCACCATCATCATTCATCATCATCATCATCATCATCATCATCATCATCATCATCAGCATCATCATCATCATCATCATCATCATCATCATCATCATCATCATCATCATCATCGTCGTCGATAGTCGTCGTCGTCGATGGTCGTCGTCGTCGTCACAGGTCATCGTCGTCGTCGCTGGTCGCCGTATCGTCGTCAGCAACGTCATCTTCTGGGGGGACAGAATATTACCGATACCGCTGCTACCAGGCTTTTGACCGAATGTCGAGGATCATCCAGCGGTAGCGACGAGAGCTCTCGAGGACGAGCAGCGGCATTGGCACCTCTTCGTCATCTGAGTCTTCATCGTCCTCTCGTCTCGCCTCGCCTCTGAGTCTTCATCGTCCTCCGGTACCCCCCTGCTGCTCGCCTCGCCTCAGCGTCTCGGGCGGGCTCGGACGCCGAGCACCCCGGGGGCTTCGAGGCAGCGCGCGGCGCTGGCCGTCGCGCGCGGCGCGCGCGCGGACCGCCGCCTGGGCTGCTGGCACCATCTCCAGACCTTCGGCTGGTGGGGGGAGAGGTGGCAGCCTCCTCTTCGGGGGACCGCTCTCGACGAGAGCCGACCGACGACTGCGGCTGACGGCGACGGGCGACGGTCGACGACGGACGACGACGGACGACGACGGGCGACGACGGACGACGGCCGACGGACGGGGGACGACGGACGACGACCGACGGACCACGGTCGACGGACGACGACGGACGACGGACGACGGACGACAGACGACGGATGATGACGACGACGACGACGACGACAAAGACGACAACGACAACGTCAAGGACGACGACGACGACGACGACGACGACGACGACGACGTACGACGACGATGACGACGACGGCGACGACGACGACTACGATGACGACGACGATGACGACGACGACGGCGGCGGCGATGACGACGACGTCGACGACGATGACGACGACGACGACGACGGCGGCGGCGACGACGACTACGACGACGAGGACGACGACGAGGACAGCGAAGATGACGACGACGACGGCGGCGGTGGCGGCGGACAAGAGACGCCCGACGACCGACGACTGACCAATGACCGAAAGTCCACGACCGACGACGACGACCTCCCCTCCTCGCAAAACCTCGCCGTGACACCCTGATCCAAATCCGCTCAAATTCAACGCCCTGACCCTTCCCGGGGTCCATCCAGGCAACCTGCTGTCGTCGGCGCCGCGCGCCGAGGCAACGAGCACCGCGTCGTGGCAGTCTGCCGCCTCTCGGGGCGCGGTGCCGCCGCCACGACCCCCCCACGGCGTCGGCGGCGGCGGCGATGGCAGCGGCAGCGGCGGCGGCGACGACAGCAGCGACGGTGGCGCCAGCGTCGGAGACGGCGGCAAAAGCGACGAGGGCGGCGGCGTCGGCGGCAGTGACGGCGGCGACAGATGACGACGGCGACCGCGGCGCGCACCCCCCGCGAGTGCTGAGAGCGTCCTGCCCTTGAGGCTCCAGGACGGGGCGGGCGGTGGCGGCCTGGTGACGTCGTGGGACACGGGCTGAAGGTCTGCTGCCGCGCTTGAGCTGGGGGAGGACGGCGGTCGCAGACACAAGGACGACACGACACGCACGGACGGGAACGTTTGCTTGGCGTGTCGCGGCGGCGGCCCCGGCGATACGTCATGCCTTGCAAGCTGATGGTGTGTCGCTCCGCTTCGCGGGGCAGGACGCTGGGAAAAACTCGTGACGTTGACGCCTGGGGGCTGGGACGTGGGGTAGCGTGTCTCACCGAAGCACGGTGGGCCAGAACCGTTGGCGCGACAAGCTAAGCGCTAAAAGCCAGAGTTCGCGACCGTAACGCATGGCGGCGGCGCCGTCTGTGCAGTCCGCAAACAGGCTGCTCTTCTGCGGGGCCTGGGCCCGATGACGGCCCCCGAATGCCCGTATTGCAAGCAATCGCGGAAAACTGGCGTGACTCGTGCATGTTCGCGGCAACTGGAAGTCCAGATGCCAGGAAGCTAGAGGGAACGCCTGGCTGGATCGGAGGAGCATGCAGAGGCCATGCGCTGGATACACGTGCGGAGGGCGCGCGCTGCCCAGCTGTACGAAGGCCGAGCGCCAGGAAGGCGTACGTTCTCATGTTCGCATAAGGAGACGAGGTCCTGAGGGAAGCGTGACCTGGGCCCCGGGATTTCCCCCCGGACCAGGATGTTCATCCAGAGCCGCTTCCTGAGGGCCCTGGGCCCGGCGAAGCCCAGGAGGCCAAAACTGGCCAAGAAAACTCTTGGCCCCTTTCCTCAAAAAAAGCACCCTTCTTCGCGGTGACACCCGCGCACCCATCTCCCGCCCGGGCCAGCCATGCAAACCTGCACCTCGTGGGGGGAGCACCCCCCGCCCACACCAGCCTCGGCCAGCGGGGCCGCCCCCCCCCGGTTGATTCGGCCAGCTTCCGCCAGCCTTCCACCGAAGGAGGGATGACAACCCCATCGATCCCTCGAAGGCAAATCCTCATCGGGAGCGCCCTGCAGACACACCAGCCTGGAGACCGGAAAACAGGTGGTGCGAACTCAGATCCTATCCTCAACTGGCGGACTTCGTTGAGGATAACCAGATATGACCAGTGGGGTGCTCCTCCTTCCCAGGGTCTCGATCTCCTTGGACCTCGCAAGAAAATACAAAGCCTCGCTCGAGAAAATACATTTTCCGATGACCGGGCTGGACTGGATACCCAGGAGATCCGATGTCCAATGCGGGGGACCCGCAGGTCCCGACCTTTTCCCCGGGGCCAGCTTTTCATCCCAAGTCGTCTCTTGACGGTCCCGGGGCCCAGCGAGGGCCCCCAGAGGCCGAAAACAAAGAAGAACAACTAACAACAACAAAGAACTAGATGCTCAACACATCGGAGGTGTGGCCATGTGTTGTACACCGACCTGTTTGGCAGCGCGCTTCCGAGCCCGGGCCCGCAAGCTGCGCCCAGTTCGCCTAAATCCCCCTTCGGCTGCGGGCCGCAGCCCCCGACCTAGACCGAGGGAACCAAACCCCTGCTATCGTAGCACTCTCGCCGCACCTCGGATGCTCGCCCCTCAGAGATCGACTCCTTTTGCGCAGCGCCGCCCCAGCTATCTTCCACCTAGGCGTGCCGTCGCCAGGAGGTGGAGGAGGAGGAGGAAGACCCAGGGCTACATGAGATGTATCTGCGAACGAAGATCCGGACCCTTCATTACGGGCGAAACGAAGATTCGGGACCAGAGGCCCAAGGCGCCCAGAAAAACGCCCAGCGGAACACAGCATTGTTTTATCAAACTGTGCTGGGTCACCTCCTATGAATTCACGCACTGGAAGCCAAAACCTGGCCCCCGGAGGCTTCCAAAACATGGCCAGTGGGAGGCCCAATGTGTCGAAGATCCAGAACCCACGTCAAGAGGGGGAGGCGGCGGCGGCGAGCATCGAATGGTCAAAGCGTCAATGAGCACCAGATCAGCGGCGATCGATGGGCGGTGTGAGAACACTGTGCCACCGCCGATGTCGAACAGGCAACAGTTCCTCGAGCACCCATCATGCGCGAGGACAGAGGACTGGAGCAAGCTCGGGCGTTGGCAAGACTGGGTTTAGTGGGGCCTGTTTCAAGGATGTGCACCTGAGGACGCCACACCTGCCCCATTCCACTTTCCGGAACTGCCGTCACCCGAAAAACACCAGCGAGTGCAGACATGGTTTAAAAATTCAAATCCATATCTTGGACTTCGGGGCCCCATCACTAACCGGCCCCCCTTAACCAGGGTCCTGGCTACACCCGACAAGCAGAAGAGTGGCAAACGACAGATGACACCAGATGAGCGACTATCAAAAACGGGTCTAACGCGAGATGGTACAGCAACCTTACGCGGCGGCTTGCGCCGGCCGCCAGCGCGGCATGCTACATTGGGGACGACAGCGCTTACGCGCGACCTTACGCGGGCAACTTCCGCGCCCATTTCCGCGCAGACGACCCCGTTTATGTTGCGCTGCTCAGATGTGCAGCAGAAGTCAGGACGCGGGCGCCGGTGAACCGCCACGAGCAAGCCTTGGGGACGACGATGGGGGCGAATAACCCAGGGGCGAGCAATACATGTATCCAGGGGCGCCGATGGTCCATGCCTGCGGCGAAGGTTCCGGGGCGAATACTCGTAACGCCCGCCCCTGGGCTATTCGCCCCCCTCTTCGCCGACGAAACCCGGGGCCCGCCGAAAAAAAACAGCCCCGCGGCGGCCTCGGCGGCCGCGGTGCCCGCGGCCCGCGCGGCGGCGGCGCCGGCCTCCTGCGCGCGGCGGCCCGGCCACCCCTGAGGGATGCGAGGACGCGAGCGAAGGGTAACATCGTGAGAATTCGCGACTGGAGCCCTGCATCCCCTCCTCGGGATCAAACGCAAGTGTTGCCAACGACGCGGCGGCGCCCCCCCGCCCCCAATGTCAATGTTGGCGCCGAAGCTGGCGACTGCAATTTGTGTTGCTGCACCCGCGGGCTGCGCTGCGCGCGCCCGTCAACACTGAAACTCGGGGGCGAGGGGGTTGGATAAAAACGTGCGTTTGATTTCGAGGAGGGTTGCGGACCCTTTCTTCCTGTACTTCGAACTGGATCGATATGTGACGGCCCAGGGGCGCGGAAACCTGCGAAAGCGCCTGGCTCGAAACAAATTCGCGACGCCAGGATCTGAGGGACTGTTTAGAGGCCAGCGGCCCATGCGCAACGGGGCGGCACGGCGTCAGCGAGGGTGGTGCGGTTTCCTTTTGGGCCACGCGTCTCACACCCATCCCCAGACCTCCAAGGCATTGAGGAAAACAGGGCGGCGGTTTTGCGCCGTTGTCGGCATCTGGGGTCCCTCGCTGGGACCCAGGACCGTCTAGAGACGACTTGGGATGCGGAGCCAGCACAGGGGAAAGGGTTGGGGCTTCTGGGGGGACACCGTGTTGAAATATTCAAAACATAAGCTTAAACTTTTGGAGGTCCGCGCGGATTTCTTGGGTCGGCGCTGGGCCCCCCTGTCGGCGCCTCTGGCGCGCTCCTGGCGCGCTGCGAGCGCCAGTTCAGAAGGATCCAGCGCTGACCCAGGCAATCCGCGCGGCCCTTCAACTACCTTTATTTGCTGATGCAGTTGTTGTTGCTCGATCCCCGTCCTCCTGGCCCTCCTCCTGCTCAATCTCCTCGAGTAAGAGAAGGGGGGCGGCGGAGGAGGAGCCCTGGAACAGGCCCGCTGCGGGCGGGGAGCCTCGAAGCCCAGGGCCCGCGATCCTCTGGGCCCCCTCCGCGCCTGCAGGCACGCGGGCCGCATCGCGCGGCGGCCCGCCGCCGCGCCGCTCGCCCAAGCCCCCTGCTCGCCGAGGGGCCGCACTGCGCCCCACCCGGCACGTAGTCGCCGGCGCGCAGAGAGCAGCTTGAGCGACGAACGGAAGCCGGTCTCACGCACTATGACATGCGCGGTGGCTGACGCGGGCCGCCGGCGCGGCACGCCGCATCGGCAACGAGGGCGGCGCCCACGCGCGACCTTGCGCGGGCAGCTGATGCGCCAACGTCGCTGAAGACGAGCCCGTCTTCCTTCGTCGCTCACTTGGGTGCACCAAAGCCGCGTGGTGACAGACCGCGTGGTGTCCTCGACATCCCGGAAGACCTCACCGCACGGTCCGTCACCACACGTTTTCGGGACCCAGGAGGCCCTGGTCACCCGAGGCGCCCTCGGAGAAAGACCCGAGCACCAAGACCGTGCAGCGACCCTAAATCCCCACTGCGTCGCCACGCGGTGTGGTCACCACACCGTTTAGGGCCCCCCAAGTAGCCCTGGGCAGGAGTGCCCTCTGGTGCGCGGCTTTCGGGGGCCGCGGGGCCAACGCTGGAGCCCACAACTGCGGGCCCGCACCGAAGGTCACTCTGGCGAAAAGTCACCGAGCTGCGCCCAGCCGTGGCGACGAGGGGGCCCCCCGAAGGCCGGCTTCCGTTGTCTCAACTCGGCTTCCTCTTACCCAGAGATATATTGTCTTGTTTCCTCATATCTCCTAAGATAGGGCTCAGATTCCCCATATCCTAAGATGGGGCCTTTGCTATCATTTAGACGCCTCCCTTCTCCTCTTCCTCCTCCTCCCTCTCCTCCTCTTCCTCCCTCACACTCAGACTCACTCACACTCAGACTCACTCACAATCACTCACTCAGATTCAGACTCAGACTCACTCACACGTAGACCCACTCACACTCAGACCCATTCATACTCAGACACGCACACGCACACACACACACACACACACTCAGACTCACTCACCTTCACTCACACACAGACTCACTCACACTCAGACCCTCGTTCGCGCACAAGGAACGAGGATGTCTTAGGCGAGGCGCTTGTTTCGGCACTCTCAGGGGGCAGCCGCCAGGGAGTCTTGGACGGGCCCGTTCGAACCCAGATTGTGGGGATATCTCAGGCGGTTTGCATGTTTATGTGGCCAGACTCGTCTGCGTTCAGAGCAGTTTGAGAGGATGTCTCAGGCGAGGCGCTGGTTTCAGCACTAGGGGTAGCCGCCAGGGGGTATTGCACTGGCCCGTCCCAGCGAGACTTGCCAGGGATATGAGATGCACCTGTGGGGATCTCCGCGTCGAGTAGTATTCACACCGGCGCCCCAGATCTCTCGACCCGCTCCACACGGCCGACCTCTCCTCCTGAGCTGTGTTTTCTCACGGCCCTGGGGCCTGGCGAGGGGCCCTGCAGGCCGAGAACGGCCAAAAACTGCCCGCCGTGATGGACGACGCGAGCACGTCTAGGCTCTCGGCCCGCACCAGGGGCCACTCCGGCGAAAGGTCACTCTTACGGGTGGCCACCGCCCGCAGGGCAGGAACAGCAGGTACCGAAGCAAGTAAGCGGGTCGAATCGGAGTGTGCGTCAAATCGGGCCGCGTCGGCACGGAGTGGAGATCGAATCGGATGAGACGCGCCAGGATGCACAACAGCGCCACGCAGGCGCATCGGCCCACGTCGCATCGCCCGAAAATCGCCATCGAGTCAGATCGGGCCGTCCGATAGATCGAGCCGGACCCATCGGATCGATGTGGGCCCTCTGCCGCAGGGCCGCCGGCGCGGCCCGTCGGTGCCGGGGGGTCGGCGCCCGCAGGGCCGCCGCCGGCGCTCGGTCGCGGGGCAGCGCCGCCGCTGGCGCCCGCAGGAGCACCGCCAGCGGTCCCCGAGAGCCCAGCGGCGGCCGGCGGCGCCAGGAGCGATGGTGCACCAGAAGGGCCCAGGGTGTGCTGGCGCTGGCAAGCCGTCGGCGTCCCCCAGGATTTGGGGGGAGGAGCTGCCGCAGAAGAGGTGCCACCGGCTGGCCAGCTGGGCACCTCGTGCCTCCACCAGCAGAGCGAAGGGCCCCGAGGCAGGAGGTGGCGGCGCGCACGAGGAGGGGGGGGAGGGGCAACGGCGGGTGCGGCGGGACGAAGGAGGACATGGCGGTACTGTGTGTCCTCCTTGGAGGCACACGGCCGACCCGAACATGTAGTACAAGCATCTTGTAGTATACTGGTTCCCGAGCGGTCTGGCCAGAACGCGCCCGCCACGGAGCTTATACTACGATATTTCTCAGCGCGAGCGTCGCCCTGGGGTGCAGACGCAAACGTATAGCTTCAGTACCTTCGAGTCATGCCAATACGAAGGAGGTGTTCGTTAAGGAATGTGCCCAGGAGACTTCAGACCCTAGAGGATCCCTCATCTGATGAGGGCGGTGGTGATATCCGTGAACAAGTCTCGATGGGTGTTCCACTGTCTTTCAGACCCTGGATTCCTTATAAGGCAGGACCTTGGACAGAAGTACATCCTTCCAGAACATGAAATCCTCCGCCGGCCCAAACTGAAGAACATTCGAGGGTGCCCTCCCCGAGGATGCACAAGAACATCCAACCTGGTCGGGACTTCTGGAGACCCCGTAGAAGAATGAAGACATCGGATCGTTTGGAACGGTCGACCCCAGTCCCTGATTTCGTGGGGCTTCAGCTGAATCAACTCGGGGATGCGCGATGGGGGGGCGTCCATCCTCGTTAGAGGTGCGTCCAAATCGCCCCCAGGAATGTATCTCTGAGTTTCCCCCCCTTTTCTGAGCGGCCTGATTCTTCGGGCGGAACTCGGGGATTGAAGGCGAGGACTCGCCTGCGACGGAGGTGCGAGGGAGCCGGCATTCTCAAAAGACAGGGGGACGCTCCTCGGGAGAGCTCGGGGGAGTCCAAAGAAGACTCCTCGGAAGCCTCCCGAGCCCGTGTCTGAGAAGACGCATGCCTCCTCACAGAAGGCCACCACCCCTCGCCTCACCCCCTCGTGCGCGCCGCCGCAGGAGGCTCAGGTGGACATCTTCGTCTGGAGAACTGGGCGGTGAGACGTCCCGCCGAGCGTCCGCCACGGCCCTCGTCGGGAGCGCGGTCCACGCTCCCCTCCCGGAAGCGCCGCACACGCTCGGGCGTGCCGCCCCCAAGGGGTGGCGCCGCCCAGGCAGGTTCTCGGCCGCGGCGGCCCCTGTCGCGCACAGGAGAGCATGATCTTGGGCAGGAGTGACCCTTGGTGGGCTTTCTGTGGCCGCGAGGGGGCCAGATCCAAGCGCGCAGGCTGGTGCTGGGGGGACCCCATGTAGGCCCGCACCGAAGGTCACCCTGGCGAGGGGTCGCTCTCGTTCGTGCAGCCGATCTCTGTTCATCCTCTCTGAGCTCAGCCCGGCGTGACGCTTCACGCGGAAAGGGAGGCCGCCGGAGGCCCGCGTGCTCCAGCGGTGGCCGCGCGGCCAAGACTGGGAGCGCGGCCGAAGACCAGCTGGCCCGCGCCGCCTCGCGAAGGGGCTCCGTGCCGCTCGGAAGCAGAAGGCCGAGCCCGCCGCGCGGGGCGGGAGGGCCGCCAGACCTCGGGTTCGGGAGGCAGCGCCGCGCGAGAGCTCGGCGAAGCTCTCCTGCGCGAACGCAGCACGAGCCCGCGGAGCGGCCACAGGTGTAAAACAGCAGGCGCACCAGGTACGTGACAGGCTGGCCTACCAGCCAGTGCCTCCGGCCCCAGCTTCTGCTCTCCCCTGTAACCCAAAGAAGCACCCTGGCTCCGGCTCCGCACTCCAAAGAGCGAAGCGAAGTGAAGCAAACGTCGGAGTCGTGCGTGCTCCTCTGGGGAGCTCTCCCGTGCCCAGTAGGGCATGGCCCCGTGCCCAGTAGGGCATGGCCTTGAGGCCGTAGCCTCGACGAGGAAGATCTCCTGCTCAAGCTCGTGAAACGCATGCCCGCTCAGATGATGACCACCACTCTGTGCACCAAGCGGCCCAGATCCATCGTAGGTCGTGGGTCCATCCGCACTCCACAGAGGACCTCACCGAAGGTTCCGACAACCTTGTTGCCACTGCAGCTCGTCATTGCCCATAACATTTGCCTGAGATGAAGCAAGTGTGCATCCATGCATGAGTGCATACTTTCGTGAACGTGCTGCGAACCGTCGCCACCGAGGCTCGAATCTAGAAGTCGCAAAACACGTCCCAGAGCCAGGCGGAAAAATGCGCAATCACAGCTTGAGCTCTTTGGTATCACACTGCTTGCGGCTGGGCTGGTTTCCTCCTCGTGCGCGCCTGCTGCACCGCAGCTCGAGCGGTGCCGAGCGGCGCCGCTCGGCGCGGCGGCCAGCCCCAGGAGATGCGGCAGCTCCTCGCGCGGAGGAGCGAGCTGCCAGAGGGGTCCCACGCCGCCGCGGGGCCACATCGGGCCGCTGCCCGACATGCTCGCGAGCGCGAGACGTGCTCGCGAGCGCGAAGGCCGACGCTCTCGCCGCGCCCCACGTGGAGCATGGGGAAGCTGAGGCGGCCGCTCCCCAACAGCAGCGGCGGGGGGAAAGGTCGGGCGCGGGCCGCGGGGACGCCGACGTGATCTCAGAATTCGCGGACGGCGTAAGGGCCAGGCCTGACGCCCGGAGGCACCTGGCCCGCGCCCCGCTGGCGTATGCCGAGCCATCCCTTCGGGTGCAAACGCCCACCACGAGATGCGCGTCTTCGGGGTCTTCTGCGCGTTGACCAGTGAGCGCGCGAGCGCCAGGCCACAGCCCAGCCCGACCACGAGGCCAGGCCCGACCCCGCGGCATGTACCGAAGAACGTCCCCTGCAGAAGGTGGTCCTCCTCCCCCATCCCCGCCGACCTGGCAGGATTGGGCCGGAAGCTCCTGGAAGGACCCCCTCCTCCATTTTTTCCCTCATAAGTAACTCATCCCTGTCGTACCCCGAGGCCAGTCGAAAGGGCGGGCCGGGCGTTTCGCCTGAGACTTCATCACCATCTATGCCCCTGAAGCTTAAAGACTGGCTAAACTTTCACAGATAGAGAGCGGGTGGTTTTCAAAATGTGGTTCTCGCCTCAGCGCCGCGCGCAGTCGCCTTAAGCATGTGCAACAAGAGTTTCACGGATCAAGGGCAGGTGGTCTTCAAAATGTGGTTATTGCCCTAGCGCCGCGCACATGCTTTGAAAAAAGTGTAGACGCTTCACAGATTGAGGACAGGTCGTTTTCAAAACGTGGCTCTCGCCTAAATGCCGCGCACATTCGTTTTTAGATGTTGCAAGAGTTTCGCGGATTGAGTGTCGGTGGTTTTCAAAATGTGGCTTTCGCCTTAGCACCGAGCACAAGCATTTGAAACAGTTCGAGAGCTTCCCGGATTGAGGACAGGTCGTTTTCAAAATGTGGTTATCGCCTTTAGCGCCACGCGCATCCCTCTTAAGAGTTTGCAGAAAATTCACTGGTTCGCATGGCTAACATTCCAAAAACAATGTTCAGGCCGATTCAGGAGCGTCAGGGTGCCACAGTGACGTTGATTCGCGGTGTCGAAGACCCAGGAATGGTGTTCTGGCACGAAACAGGGTCGTCAAGACGCAACAGCCAAGTTGATGCGTGGTATAATCATGAGAATGGTGTTCTGGAACGCGTCAAGATAAAATGTTCACACGGTTGTCCCCCAACGGCGCACTTTCCTCAGTGGAAATTAACCCTTGTCCTATGAAAAGGGAGTTCGGAGGGAGGGCGCATTCCAACATCATTGATGAGTCTTGGGTTTGCACTGGTCCTCATCCTACTCTTCCTCCTCTTCCTCGTCCTCCTCCTCCTCCTCCTCCCTCTCTTCTTCATCCTCCTCCTCCGCCTCCGCCTCC